TTGCATGCACAGAATTCAAACTTATTTCTACCAAGCCCAGAAAGGCTCCATCTTTTTTCCTGGAATTTCATTCTCCCACCCCCCTAATTTTCAATTGCCTCAGTAGAAAACCCAGTGTGGATGTGCCAATCATCTCATTGGATTTCCCTAGTCTCATGGATTGTACCTCAAAAACTCCTGTTTAAACAGGTAACATGACAAATCTTCAAAGATCTGTATATTTTAATCAGGTTTTGATGTTGCTTTTTATGGGTAAGACCAATAAAATCTACTCAGTCATGGCAGAAACTGAACTTCTTTTACTCCAAATATTTTTTATTTCTATTTAATTTTTTTTTTAACGTTTATTCATTTGTGAGAGACAGAGCACAAGCGGGGGTGGGGCAGAGAGAGAGGGAGACAGAGAATTCAAAGCAGGCTGCAGGCTTCAGGCTCTGAGTTGTCAGTGGGGCTCGAACTCATGAACCGTGAGATCATGACCTGAGCCGAAGTCGGACGCTTAACCGACTTAGTCACCCAGGCACGCCAAGTATTTTATTGTTTTAAATTTATTTTTGGGAGAGAGAGAGAGAGAGAGAGAGCGAGCCTGCACAAGCAGGCGAGGGGTAGAGAGAGGGAGACACAGAATCCGAAGCAATTCCAGGCTCCAAACTGCCAGTGCAGAGCCCAATGTGGGGCTCGAACCCACTAACTGTGAGATCATGACCTGAGCCAAAGTTGGACACTTAACCGACTGAGCCATCCAGGTTACCCCTACTTGAAATATTTTAACGCAAAGAATGCTTCAGTATTTGTATGTATACAACATTTATATGCAAGTTTTAAGAGCAGTATGAATCTTCTGAGGAAAAATCCTCAGCTGACAGTTTGGACTCATACTGAATCCTTCATGCATTCTCACGGGACCCTGGCTAAATTTTCTGCATTTTTTTCTACCAAAAAAAATTTTTTTTGGCTGATATGTTTGTATCAAACACTTAGTATGCAGATCTTTAGGCTCCACCTGCTTCTTACACAATACACCAAGAACGAGCACTGCCAGGCTCTGATGGGCATCAGCACACATTCTGTGCCTTGAGCCTCTCCCCTCTCTCTAAGCCCTGGGTTGTCATGTTGATGGCAACATGTGAAACGCCTCAACACCAAAACACACATGCACAGCCAGATTCCCTTTATATGATGACTATATGTGTGTCACCAATTCTGTGTGGTCAGAAAGTATATAGTCATATGATCTGTATACAGTTGTGTGTCCCTGCGTTGTCTGCCTGTGGGGGTGTTGGCCATTATTGTGTCTGTTGAGAGTGTGGTCAGGGTGGAAGGTCTACATGTGATTGTCAGAACATGTTATCAGATTGCGTGTGTGTGTCGAGGGCGTTTTGTTCACCGTGGGATCAGTGCATGCAGGAGGTGAAAAGCAAGGTCTGCCTGGCAACAGTTCAAACCCCGGAGCACCAGCGAGTCCATTACAGGCCCACAGGCCACTGGGGAGCCTGGGAGAAGGGAAAGTAGCATCGTGGCATCAGGCATGTGAGACTTGTTAGGGCCGTGGTGAAGGAAAAGGCCAGATCCTGACCAGTGTGAAACTGGAATCCAGGGTCTGAATGGTTCAGAGATGGGGAAATCTGTGTGCACCAGTGACGGGGGCTGTGGGTGGCAGAGTTGTTGAGTTCGAACACACCGTTGCGGGGCAGTCATCAAAACATGTAATGGAGGGGCACCTGGGTGGCTCAGTCGAGTGAGCATCTGACTCTTGATTTTGGCTTAGGTCATGATCTCAGTTCGTGAGTTTGAGCCTCACATCGGGCTCTGCACTGACAGCGCAGAGCCTGCTTGGATTTTCTCTCTCCCCCTCTTGTCCCTCCCCTGCTCATGCTCTCTCTCCTTCTCCCTCCCCAAAATAAATAAATATTAACAGTTTTTTTTAACTATTATTTTTCTTCAATCGTTTGGTGGCCTATGATGGCACCTTTTGAGGCAGTGGCAGAGTGATCACACTCATTCTGGAGCTGCGGGTTGGATTCTGAAAACTGGGAGAGCCAGAATGGAGAGTTCCTTCCAAAGTCAGCTCTCCCAGGTCACGCTCTGTAGCGCCTGGCCAAGAAAGGAAAAGAAACATTACTTGTCCCCATTGCCACCTGAAAACAAGAGCTGCAACGAGAGGCAGATGAGTGTTTACTTGGGATTAAAGATTTGCAGTTTGGGGAGCACCGATTCCAGCAGTAACCAGAAACGTGTCCTATCTGTGGGGTGAAAGCAAGGGCTTTATAGGAGAAAGAGGAAGAGGGGCAATTACATGGCTTGGGTAAAAGAGAAAAAAAAAATTACTCATTGCTACTAACAGGCAGTAACTATGACCAATTCTGGAGAATGTCTCAATGGAAACTTGCCAAGAGTATGTTACTCTGCTGCTTTGGGATGAAGTGTGCGGTGTACCTCTGTGAAGTCGTCCATCTCATCTAACGTGTCACTTACGGTAGATGTTATCTGATTTTTGTCCAAATGATTCGTTCATTGATGAAAGTGTGTATTAACATCCCCCTTCTACTGCATAACTGTCTCTCCCTTGACATCTGTTCGTATTTGTTTTATATATGTAGGTGCTCCTATGTTGAGCGCATAAATATTTACAGATGTTATATCCTGTTGTTGAATGGACCCCCTTATTGTTAGGTAATACCCTTCTTTTTTCAATAATGGCATTTTAAAATGAAAATTTATACAGGGTTCGGTCACAAACTATCTATATAAGAATCTTTAATTCATCATTACGACCTACATACGTGGTTAACAATATGTAGTAATGACGCATCATCTTGTGTTCTATGTTTTTCAGTTAATATTCAAAGACACTTTCTAGTTGAATCCAATCATAATTACTATTGCTGCATGAAAAATAGGACCCTGACCAACATAATG